AAAAAAAAAAAAAAAAAAAAAAAAAAAAACCCAGCCATCGCTAAGGACACACCGGGCGTCGGGGATCGCGGGACGATCTCCGGCCACCGTAAGCGCGGGCCTGCGGACGGACTCAATGTTGAACAAAGTGTGCAAATCAGTATTTTAGTTTTGCGGTTCATTTTTTTGATATTCAGTAGGTTTTTAGTGGAGAAATTTGGTTTGCATAAATTTCTAAATAGAGGTGCAGGTACAAAATGCCCCTTAATTAAACAACAATGTTTTTTTGCTAAATGGTTTTTCGAATGAGCAACGCACTACAAATGTTAGTGTGGGGCAACGTTTAAAAAATAAAAAAGCAATTTGGCAATATTTTTTTATCAGGTACTTTTACGACAAGGAGAAAGATGAGTGTATTTTCTTCGTGTACAGTGGTTGTGAAGGCACTAATCTCTTCTCTTCTAAACAAGAGTGCGTGAATGCCTGTGTCCGCCATGACAAAACACACATGTTTGGTAAGTCATAAACATTTTTTGCAGTCACACTACACTAATACGAAAATAAATATCATCTGAAGTACAAACGAGACACATTTTTCAGTTCGAATGTCTTCAATCGAAAAAGTAATGTATGGGCTTGACATAAGTTTTGTCATAATTTGTCGAATGTCAATGTCAATCTCATACATTGAATGTTTTCTTCGAATTTTGAAATTAACTCTATTTCGTGGTTTGTTTTGGACTTTCGTTGGTAGTGGTGAAGGTTACGCACGTGCTTTTATTGGCACTACGATTGTTGTCAATTTTAGTGATCTTTTTCATAGTAAACTAAATTGAAATCTTTTAATTTTGTGCTGTGTAATTGTGTGTGTAAGTTTTATTAAGGTATTGTAGTTTAAAGTTTTAATACTTGTTTTTCCTTCCCACCTTTCTTACTCTTTTAACGATGGACGAGGAGAAGCCCCCTGATCCTCCCGACAAATCGGAATACAGTCCTGTATTATGTGTCACACTTCCCCACGACAACCAAGATATAGACCTACTGGATTCTGAACCTAATTATAATAGAAAGCGACCTGCAGGCTCTCCTATTATCTCCCGCAACAACCCTCCAAAACTAGCTAAAAGCATAAATGGTAGGCAGTGTTACACGGCTAGAGACAACCCCCCTTATATTATCCATGTTTCGCTCAAGGACTCCCAGACAACTGGTACTACGCTTCACCCAATCAAATTCGGGATGTTCTTGACGAAAAATAATATAAGCAATGTAAAAATTGGAGGAGTGAAACGACTAGGTAGAAATAGAGTGTCCGTTGAATTTGTCTCCCACCAAGATGCAAACAGTTTCTTGGTTAACTGTGTTGTAGCACAAAATTATACTACCTCGATCCCTCAATACAACATAACAAGAATGGGTATTGTAAGAGATGTTCCCATTGAGTGGACAGAGGAAGAAATTATCAGGAACATCAAGGTTCCTGCTGGATGTGGTATTGCTATCAAAGCTAGACGGATGAACCGTAGGGTGTCATCAGAAAATGGTACGGAATGGAAGCCTACGCAAACTGTGGTGCTCACTTTTGATGGGCAAATTCTTCCAAAGAAAGTTTTTTGTTTTTACTCTGCTCTCCCCGTAGAATTGTACACTTACCCCACGATACAGTGTTTCAACTGTTGTCGTTTTGGTCACACTCGCACTCTGTGCCGCTCCAAGCCGCGTTGCTTTAGATGTGGTCAGGATCATCCTGGCGATGGATGCTTAGTATCAGAGGAAGTTGCACATTGCATTAATTGCAATGGCAACCACTTTGCTAATAACAGTGCTTGCCCGGAGTTAGGCCGCCAGAAGAGCATTAAGGCTCTGATGGCAGAAAAGGCAATTTCATATGCGGAAGCAAGCCAAGTATTCCCTGCAGTTAAAAAGTCATATGCCGAGGTATCTAAATCCAAATCCACCAATTACATCCAACCATCACCAATCAAAAAATCATCCCCACAGAGACTATCTTATAAAAAAACTGTCTTTGTCAAACCTAAATCACATGCCCCTCTTTCTCCCAGTTACGATAAGAAGGCTTACTAGGCCCTTATTCATGACTCCTCATTTTCTCTCTCACAAAACGGTTGCGCTTTCCCTGTGGAACCCGGAACCAATACTCAAAGCTCCAAGAACATATTAGACATAATTTCGAGCATGCTTATGGCAGTGTTATCCAACCCTGCTCAAACTATACCTGACCACGTCGCCCATAGATTAGCTACCATCTTAGATTATATTTAAAACATTCCACCTACTAACAATTCTCCAGTGGAACGTGAGGAGTACTCTTCCCAGGAAGAGTGACTTACTACACCTAATCAACAAATTCAAACCATCTATTTGTGGCATTGCTGAGACATGGCTCCGACCGAATATTAATTTCAGAGTACCGTGTTTCAGTGTTGTCAGACATGACAGATCTGATGGTTATGGAGGTTGTGCTTTGTTAGTAAGTAACAAAGTACCCTTCTCTCAGATCCCTCTACCCTTCGTTGGCGATGACATAAATGTTGTCACTGTTAAGGCTGAGGATATAAATATTTTTATGTTTTATATTGCGCACCCTCCTAACTGCTCACTTCTGTTAAAATAACAAACTTTTGCATGCTATGTTTTATCTTAGCGAAACATGTTGACCTATTGCAATAATATTAACACCAATGTATTACTTACTTACTTACTATGTGCTATTAATGACAAACAATTTGGACAACCAAATTCATAAAAGAAAATAATATTAAAATATAACGGTGTGTAATCATGTAAATATTGTGTGTTATGATTATTTCTATTTAATTATCTATCTGGTGTTAGGTAATAATATTATAATTTTAGGTCTATTGACGGTATATGTTTACTAACCCAATTGTTTTTGTCCTTTTCAGCTACTAACAACTAAAAACTACCGCAAAGTTAAAAGTCGACGGTGCATTAATCTGCCGTCACCACTCGACACTGGCAGTATAGTTGACAACATCGTGTTGGAGACTCGGTTGCCAAAGAAAAAAAAAAACTTTATTTCATGGTCCTAAAATATACACTAACTATGTAAAAAATCACAATTAGCCTAAATAAAAATTTACGACGATAATTTTATTTATGAGTTTTCAGAATTAACTCGGAATTAGTTGCATGATTGCATCACTTTCAAAATCTCCAAAGAAAATTGTGATGCGAATGATTATTATTGCAATGAATATTATTTTGAAATTATAATAATGTTAAAATAAAAACAAAATGTGTTTTATTAGGTTCATGTTTCTAAGTTCGTTTAATCTAATCTAAGTAAATTGATGATCTCCGGCTACCGTACCGGTTGCGGACGGCGAGCACGGGTAGCTCGCTGCCCGACCAGAACCAGACCTGTGCGTACAGCGCGTCGTTTTCCGCGCGCACCTCAAAGAGCCATCAGACCACCACAGATGGGGCCCAATAGGGATTGATGCCGATACGGAGCCGCGGAAAACTTAACAGGCTACCGGGGCTCCGGCTCGAAGTGCCGGAGTAGGGACGGAGTGGTCTTTAGTCAGTAATTGTCTGACACTCCCTCTCGCCTCACCCAGGTAGTAGAAGTCATTGGATGATTCTCCTCCCTTAGAAAAGGTTTGTTATGTAGGTAAATTCAACTGCAATAATTATGAGTAGTATTTTACATCCTATATAATAGGGAAAAAAACAGTCTTTAAAAGGTTAAATGTCATATTTTATTATCTAACTTCGTGGCAAATGTGACTGATATAAATTGACCTACTAAGACCTTGTTACAGAAACGTACTTGGGTACCTAATTTTTCAATATAATTTTTTACTGTCAAAAACTAGTTTTCGGTGAATTTTGTACGACATTATGTGTTGGTACGTCATGTTTCATAACATAACATAACATCACGCCTTTAATCCCCGAAGGGGTAGGCAGAGGTGCACACAGAAGTAACACACACTTTCCACTATTTATGTTATGAGTCCCATGTAATAGGGGGTGAGCCTATTGCCATATATCGGGCACATTTCCAGACTCTGTGCTACTACTGAGATTTTTTTTTGAAAACCTAGTAATATTTTGCCCGACCCGGGAACCGAACCCGAGACCCCTTGCCCGGTAGTCGCGCTTGCGACCACTCGGCCAACGAGGCAGTCATGTTTTATTTAGGCATCAAATAACGGGTGTACCTTTTAAAACAGAACTGTTATCGTCATAATCTTATTTTGAATTGGTAACACCGCATAGTATAATCTTCTTTTCGCAGAAAGTAGTTTAGTATATACTCACTTATCATAAGCCCTGTAAATAATCAGACCCAGCCTGCCCCGAATTGCTGCCCCCCGAAATGGCCCCGCTGAGCCGAGGTTCGTACCCCACAGCCCGTGCACAGTGCCCTCAGCAATGCGGTCAGTTTTAACATTTTAGCTTAGTTAACCTGGCTGGGGGCCTAACTCTTTGTTAGTGGCCCCCGTAGGGTTTGTCCGGTTAAGTAAGTAATACTAAAAATTAAGCACAACTGTAATAATAATTTTCTGAATAGAAGTTCCTATGTAGATAAGTAATAAGTTGTAAGTGATAAGTTTTTTTTTTTATTTTAGGAAAGCTGACGCTAGTACAGTTGAAAAATACATAAATAATTTAAGTTGTAATAAGGCTCCGGGCATAGATATGATAAGGGTGCAAGATGTAAAACGGGTAAAAAAAGAAATTAGTCCAGTATTAGCTAAGTTAAGTAATATGTGTGTTGGCGGGGGTGTTTACCCAGACCTATTAAAAATATCTCTAATGAGACCTATATTTAAACAAGGCAATCATTTGGAATACAGTAACTATAGGTCAGTCGCAATATTATCAGTAATAAATAAATTAGAAGAAAAAGTAATTGCAAATCAGGTTAGTAGCTATTTAGAACAACACCATATAATTTCCGAGGCGCAGCACGGATTCCGGCGCGGGCGCAGCACTGCCACTGCACTCGCGCAATTCACCGACTACGTTAACAACAACCTCAATCAAGGTAAGAGTGTCGCAGCATTATTTATTGACTACAAAAAAGCATTCGATACTCTGGAACACGACGTACTGCAGTGAGCGATGGACGAGTGTGGTGTACGAGGCCCTATTAACCGCTGGTTAAGAGCTACCTGAAGAACAGAATCCTTCGCACATCCATAGACGTTACCATCGGCGACGAAGTAAGCGTGAATCTGGGCGTACCGACCGGCTCGGTGTTCGGGTACATAATGCACGTGAACAGTGTCATCAACGTCATAAAGCACTGCACAACGTTTATGTACGCGGACGACATGTGCCTGCTATACTCGTCCAACAGCGCCGCAGAGGCACAATACCACATGCAGTTCGACTTTGAAAATATTATTAAATGGGCACACCATAATGGCATAATACTAAATTTCGCTAAAACTAAATTAATGTATATGTCGGAGAAAATGCACCCATTGGGGGTACTTCGGAAAACGCGGTAAGTTCGGTGCGAGCTGGCAGAACAACCGCTCACCCTCGTGTCCAACTCAAAAGTGACGCCTTTCAAAATGCCAACATGCCACGCCCCCGTACCGACCATCACCCAAGCACACTGCTTGACGTTTCCGACAAATGATAACAGATAGCGTTGTTCTAAAATAACGATACATAGCTGTGCATCTTTGTTGATTCTGCGACATATATATCGATGGCGCCCACGCATAAGGTCGGAACATCATTTTTGACAAAAATTGTTTTTTTGGCCTATTACAACAATCTTGAACAGTAGCATGATTTACTAAAATCCAAATTTCAATATCTTATATGGAACACGAGTTTTCTAATGGAAAATAGTCTTAAGATTTAAACGCTCCCGCGCATAAAGTCGCGAGGATTGTTCCGACGATATGCTCGGATCTATTAGGCCCGGCCGGCCAATCAGAGCAGAGTACCGACCGCAACGTTACGTCGTATGTCAGCAGTGGAAAAGTTTGCTTTTTAGAATAAAACTGTCGATTTTTGTGTTATTGTTGATGTAGTTTTAGGAGGACTAGTAATATTTATAATAAAATGAGTAGCGTACATGCTTCCAAGATTATAATTCTCGTGTCAAATGAAGAAATAAACCAAAATTGTGAAATAACGGTCGATGAAAATTTTCGAAATGGTAAGTTGTACTAATTTGTCATTTAATATATTTATTTTACTAGTTTATACGTGCATTACGAAATTAATAGTTAGTATGTGACAGTGTTAAATAGGTCTCAGCAAATAAAAAAAAATTATGACCATTCCGACGCATAACGTCGAAACGTCATAACTTACGACTACATGCGCTGTAATCAAACATTAACAGTGGTCAGTTACGACTTTATGCCTCAGAATCATTTTGTTCTAGGAGTCGTAACTTAAACTTACAACCATATGCGATGTTTAAATATAACAATAAATAAACGTATAAAGACGTATCATAGACATACGGCTTTATGCTCCGTTAAAAAAACAAGATACGATTATCTGCTTTACAAAATATAGTTAAAATCTCATTAAAAATAAACTTTTTAACTGCTTCGTTGGTCTAGTGGCCACGAGTATGACTGCAGGCCACGAGGTGTCGGTTTCGACCCCCATTATCGGGTTTTCCAATTTCGAAATTCTCATGACGCAGAATATGTACTATAATGTTCTTCTATCTCTAATTTCTCTGAACTCTGTCTATTGCTTTGGGAAATAAAATATTATGTTTGATTTATGTTAATTGTTGGTATAACTCTCTAAATTTGTATTTGTCACTTGTGTGTGCTCTTTGACTAATTGAAAACTTGCAATTTTAGAATCGCCGATACCGATTGAAGGCGAACCAGTGTGTTGGAAGACAATGTTCGGACAATTTTTTATTTAAAGTACGATAAGCATCGACTAAGTATAGTTTTATACCAAGTGTTACCGAGGTAATAAATGATTCCGACGCAATGTTACCCTCAATTTTATCTCCTATACATAATGAAAGTCCTACATCACTTAAGGATTCAGAGTCATTTGTTGAAGCATTTTTACACGAATCAACTGATATAATAGAACTTTCACTGGACATAATACCAATCATGCTCTCCCCAAATAACGATTTTTAATGTCCATTTCGTCTCTACTATTTATCATCTATTTGTTATGCTGATAATTTTTGCAAGAAGACGTCACCGTCACTGTGATGAGTGGAAAGATATTAAACAGAAACGTTGAAAAGATTAAGGAAAAGCATATTTCAGTAGGAATGGAGTTCAGAGAGATGGAAAGATTTTAAAACCACCATGTCCAGGTACTTGTTGCCTTAAATACCATTTGATGTACGCCAACAGTTTAGTTCTTTTTAGAAAAATGGATATCACTGTCGATAATAGCATTACATTGTCAAACACACTGAAGTAGGCGATGCTAAGTATCTTTCTAAGACAAATGTTGAGTCTAGACGTTTTACGTCTAGACTCAACATAGAACTATTAAGTATTGCTAACCTTTATTTGGATCTATTGAATGTTATAGATTTTTATAAGTAAAAAATATAATTAGACGGCAGAAACTAAGAGTACCTCGTGACCGTGGTTAGAAATCGCAAGAGCCCAACCAAACAGTTAGAGATGAATAATGAAGAGGTCATGACTGTAGTATACTACTTTTACAAAAAATATTCAACTTGATGGGCCGCTTCATTTGATGTCAAAAATCGAAAGTCTGAAGAATCTGATGAAGAACCAACAGCAGGTCTCAGCGGTATTAGAGATATGGTAGTCAAGTTTCTATAAAATGAAGTGAAATCCAACCAAAAACATTCTGTAATAAACTAGACAAGTCTCAATGAAGCCGCTTGTTCATCTCTAAAAAGTAATGAAATCTAAACAAACTCTTGCTAAGTCTAAGGTTCTTTACTGCGATTTCTTTATAATTATAGTTAATGTTGTGTGACTTGGCCGTTGAAGGGTATACAAGGCCAATTTTCCATATTCAATAGGTAGTGGTTCAACGGCTAATTCACACAACATTAATATAATAATAAAAAAATCGCAGTAAGGTCAAGGAGACTTGGCAAGACTTTGTCTAGATTTCATTATTTTTAGAGATGAACAAGCGGCTCCATCGAGACTTGACCAGTTTATTACAGAATGTTTTTGGTTGGATTTCACTTCATTTTATAGAAACTTGACTACCATATCTCTAATACACTCTAATACTACATAAATAATATATGGATGTAAACAAAATGCTCTCGAAAACGCTAATAAAAAAATGACTTAATAGTTTTAATGGTTTTTTACGTGTTATTCATGCAACATCAGCCTTGAACGGTTGATTATAACTATTATTACATAAAAGACAATTATCATAAAAATTAAACTTGTGTTTGACCGTCACCTGTCGACGTTTCTCGGGAGCGTTCCGTTGACCCCCTATTATGTCTACAGATTCAGTATTGTATTATGCATACAGTTGTCAGTTTGTCTCAAATATCCTACCTTCTATATAATTATTATGCTGGGTACAAGATATTTTTTTACTTAACGTAATTTTCGTTTAATTACGATAACAATTATCGTTTCGTAATATTAAAACTTAATTTTGTTTTCATTTCTTTATTGTTTTAAAATAGTTTTATTTACTATAATAATGTAACTTTGAGTTAAAAAGACTTAATTATGTTCCTATGATGAGAATTATTGTAATAAAATTGATTTGCGTTAAAATTTTAAGGTGGTTTTTATTCATCAAGTGCATTATTACGACTACTTTTTATAGAGATACAATACTTTCAACGTCGCAAATAGTCGTAATTCAAACTTACGACTTTATTCGTGTTGCTTTTATCATGTTTACAGAAGCATACAGTCGTAACATTTAGATACGACCTTTTTTTAAAAAGTATATGGTCGTAAGTAAGAAAAACTAGTTTTTTTCGGTAATTACAATTCCTTATAATATCCAGCCCCTGGGAATACATTATTTAACTAACAATTGTTAGGTACGTATAAAAATATCTGTTAAAAATCTTTTACAACAAATTTTATCATTAACGTATACTAAAACTGCTCTCCTGAACAAATGACTTTTTAGCGTTACGACCTTATGCGTAGGAAGCGTCGATATATTCTCCCTATAGTAACTATAAAAATCAAGCACAAATACACATAACCGGTCATACATACGAATGTTTACATAGTGATAAATATAGATGCCTTTGTACAAATATAGATATAGTAGACAAATATAAATATTTAGGATTAATAGTAGACAGTAATTTAAATTAGAAATTACATATTAACGATGTATGTGGTAAGCTGCAATCCATTATGGGTAAATTCTTTCACCTCAGTAGATTTGTTAGTAAGAAACTGTTAAATGTTTTATATTTCGCACTTGCAGACTCATTCATTAGCTATGGTTTAAGTAGTTACGGACTAACATTCAAAACACATTTAGATTTAATTAAACAATTACAAATTAGACTGAGTAAGTGACTTGTATTAAACGTTCAGGGATAATAAAACCAATTTGTATCGGCCAATACTTTTATTATAGATTTTCACAAATCACTTTAACACTTGTCTCTGCTAGGACTTATCGACATCGACTGTCCTATCATCGTGCGCACTACTCCCCACTTCATGTATGTTCTACCGGAAGCTGCATAGAACGATATTTTAAATAAAACGTAATGATACAACCGGAAGTAGTGCGTACGATACCACTAAATTTTTATGTTAAATAAATAAACACCTTTTGAATATTGTTATTAGATTTAAATACGAATACGAAGTAAATTAAAAATAATAATTGGGCGAAATAATACTTTAAAATGATATATTATGAATTCCGGAAGATTGATTATCAAAGAAAGGGTTTCTAACACTTGTTAGCAAAAAAGTAAAGTTAAAATATAAACATAATTATGAAGAATTATTAAAATGTTGTAATATAATACCAGTGCATGATAAAGTAGATTACCTCATAGCCATGAAGCAATACAACTTAAATGAACACAAAGAGCCAATAAATCATAAATATAAGACTAGGAGTGCTGTGCAAGGAGAATTTGTAATACCTCAGGTGAAAAATTATTATGGTAAAAGGACTAGGCAATATTTAACTCCAACAATATTTAACAACATAGATTTTATAAGAAACGCGTCCAAAGATAACATAAGTGATGCTTTACTTAAAAAAAGACTTAAAAACATACATACACACATAACATCACGCCTTTTATCCCCGAAGGGGTAGGCAGAGGTGTACATTAATGCCACTGTACAATGTAACACCCACTTTTCACTACTTATGTTATGAGTCCCATGTAATAGGGGGTGAGCCTATTGCCATATACCGGGCACAATTCCAGACTCCGTGCTACTACTGGGAATTTTTTGAAAAACCCAGTAATACTTTGCCCGACCCGGGAATCGAACCCGAGACCCCTTGCCCGGCAGTCACACTTGCGACCACTCGGCCAATGAGGCAGTCAGAAACTGTTATATGTTTACTTAAAAACTACTACCTAAAAATATAAGATACTCATATGTAATAGAAATAGTTTAACTAAGATATTAGTATTAATAAAAGTAATGATATTTTTGTCATTCAATAATAATTGGTAATACATATTATAATAGATTTAATATAAAATACTTATAATATTACATAAAGAAATAGCTATAAAAAAAGATATATGTATGTTGCAGAATCAACAAAGATGCACATTGCACAACTATAGAGTATCGTTATTTTAGAACAACGCCATCTGTTATTATTTGTCGGAAACGTCAAGCAGTGTGCTTGGGTGATGGTCGGTACGGGGGGCATGTTGGCATTTGAAAGGCGTCACTTTTGAGTTGGACACGAGGGTGAGCGGTTGTTCTGCCAGCCCGTAACGAAATTACCGCGTTTACGAAGAATCCGATGACGAAGTACCCCCAATGTGTGCATTTTCTCCGACATATATATAATAAATAATATTCAAGAGCGCCATTACCGCCAACAAACTGGTAAAAGTTTGGCGATTTTTGTATATTTAATAATAATGTATATATTTATGAGAATAAATAAAAAAAAAGTAATCAACAGCCTTAGGTCCTATTTCGAGGTATTCCTCCTAGCGGTCCCGTTTTGAAGCGCGCCCAACTAAGCGCTCCCGTTTTATTCCTCTAAGCGCTCCCAAAAAGAGCGCTTTGAGGAACGATTAAAAATATTAAAATTTATTTTCTCGAAACGCTCCCATGATTAACTTTCGGATAGAGATGAGACTTTACTAATTGAAATTATCGATAAGAACTAGGTAATTAGTAGAACACATTGTTATAATATACAACTAGCGGCCCGTCCCGGCTTATTATCTTTCTTATGTCGTCGAATCCTGCCGAATGCGAAGCCGGGACGGGCCGCTTAGATGGGCGTGCTTCAAAACGAGAGCGCTACGAGGAATACCTCCCCTTTTCACCAACGAAACTGATCACGATTACACCTAACAAAACTGATTTCATTAGCGTGCTGCGTGAACTACGAGTGGTCCTAACCTAAAAAAAAACTTATCATAAATTCAAAAATGATATTTCTTTAAGTTTATTAGTGAATGGGGCCTTCTTCACTCCATAAGCACTATTTGAGTCCATTTGTTACCCTTTTAATATGGTCAGTGTCCATTACTTGCCGTAGCCCTTCTTTAAGCTTGTTTATGGATTCCTGTCGATTGTTTATTTGACTTTTAGTGTATATTAGGTTTAATTTTGGTTGATCTCGTAAATATTCAATAGTTTGAAGACTGGGTCTTATTGCGGGATACGGCAAAACTCTAATATCCATTGCCAGTGAGAGCTTTTTTGTCGATTTGCTTGTTTACAAATAAGGATAAATTTATCTTACAATTAACACCAAACCATCATTATCATTTGGTTCATAGCATAGCATAGCATAGCATAGCATAGCATAGCACTTTTGTACGGGTATTCAAGTGATTTATTTTACAGAGGAAAAATCACCATGATCAGCCCTGAGTGAGACGAAAGAGAGTATCAGCCTCTTACAAAAACGACTGTCGCCCCAATAACTGCGCACTGCATTCGTAGCCTGACTGAAGCGAATACATCCCTGTACTTATCTATAGTAACTCCCAATAACAAGATACACACATTTTAATAATCAGTAGCAATCGTCATAAATTATTGTACTGACGTGAACAACTTGATTTACTTAGTTTCAAAATGAAGTTCTTTTATTTCTTATTAACTATATTATTGATTGCTTTATGTGAAGCTAGAGGTAAGTTTTTATTATTATTATTCCCATATCTTTATATATATAATTCTTCTGTGAGTGTGTATGTCACTGAACTTCTCTCAAACGACTGGACCGATTTTGATGAAAACTTTTGTGTGTGTTCAAGGGGATCTGGGAATGGTTTAGATTCACAAATCAGCCCGGCAGATGGCGCTGCAGTCGTGTTTAGGTTTTTTATCCTAAACAGCTGAACTAATTTGAATGATTTTTTGTTTATACATTCAAGTGGATATGCAGGACAACGTCTGTTGGGTCCGCTAGTATTTATATAAAATTCTCTAAAACTTTCACTTTAAATACACTTTAAATGTCCCATCTCACGATACGTGCCGTTTCTAGGAGAACTGCCTTCTGTATCAGGCCCTTGATCCATGCACCTAACGCCAGCCTCCTGAGATAGATCTCGAGGCTTTTAACGGATTTACCCATTGGCCGACATGACTATCGGCGGAATGATAGCTGAATTATCAGTACTGATAGGTTAGAAGTCGGCGACATAAGTTCTAAATAGATTAATAGTAAAATTTAATAAATACATTAGGTATTACGCTGTTTACAATTTTGTGACGGACCCGTTGAAAATCATCCCCGTTCATATAAAAGTAGTCTTTATACATTGGAAATAAGGTCTATAATGTAGTTTCGCTTGGGGATTTATGGGTTAAGTTATACCATTTTGATATGCGCTTATGGCACCGACTTCTAACCTATAAGTGGGTGGGTAACCGATCAATAGAGGTACTAATGATAGTTATTTTTTATTTTCAGTTTTTACTTTATGTTTAGTTTTTGGTTTTTTGAAGTAGATTTTTTAATTAAGACTCCTAAATTTTGAGTTTTTTTATCTAAGTATTGTTATGTCATTATGACAAAATAAAAAATATGTTTCTAATATTTTTTATTCGCTAATTGACGCTGTAATTGGTTTTTAATTTCTATACCCTGTCATTATCCCTATTACGTACTAACTGTGCTTGCGACTTCGTCCGCGTAGAATAGTGATTCACAGCTCTTCCCCTGTAGATGAAGCGGTGATAGCGTGATAATATGTAGCCTATATGTAGACCCGACAGGTTTGTAGTATTCATGCAAAGTTTGAAGTAAATCTATACAGTACTTTTTTGAGTTTAGCGCGGACATACATCCAGATAAACAGACAAAAATTCTAAAAACCATATTTTTGAGATATCGATTGTAAATCACGACCAAAGATTCTTTAAAAAAAAGTATTCAATGGACTGTTTTCACTTTCCTACAATTCTATTATCGATGAGAATAGACATGTTTTAGTAAAATATTATTTTTTTCTTTACAGATCCGAAATGTCTTCAACCGACTGACCCTGGGATATGCTTTGGTTATATGCCTAGGTATTTTTTTTTTTTTTTTTTATGGAATAGGAGGCAAACGAGCACACGTATCACCTGATGGTAAGCGATCAGCGCCGCCCATGGACTCCCGCAGCACCAGAAGAGTCACAGGTGCGTTGCCGGCCTTTTAAAAAGGAGTACGCTCTTTTCTTGAAGGTTTGAAGGTCGTATCGGTTCGGAAACACCGCCGACGACAGATAATTCCACAGTTTTGCTGTGCGAGGCAGGAAGCTACGTGAGAACCGCACAGTTGTAGCCTGCCAACCATCTATATGATGGGGATGCATATGCTGTCGTGACGGTCGATGGCGAAAAGATGCGGCAGGTATCAGGTCAAAGAATTATAATGCCACAATATTAATCTACACTGAACCTATAATATAACGCTAAAAAGTTTGTTTAAACGAAATTACCGGTTAGAATTGAATAATTCGTTTTGTGTAGTACCTATATTGGGGTGCGGTGCCAGAAGACCTCCCCGTGGTGCACCCTGTGACTGTCGCCCGCAGCAGACTTCTAGACAGGGCGGGCGAACCCGAGATGGGTTCTGGAGGCGGCGGGCTGTGTGCGGAGGCTCATAGCCTGCGCTTCCGAAGGGCGTTTCTCCGCCCGTCTCTCTGGACTTAGCAGAGAGCGTGGCGGAGAGGCAAGGCCGGTGCTCGTTGTGCACTCACCCTGCCAGCGAGCAGCATCGGGACACAAGCTGTCCCCGATTGCAGCCGTCGATATCGTAATCCGTAAGGAGGTCACGGTCATGTTTTGTGACTCTGAACGGGACGAGGGTCTTGGCTTGGTCGCCCGGACCGCGAGGAAGATAACAACCTTTATAAAAAAAATCCTCCAATACCAAGTTCTGGTGCTTGGCGAGGGTATGCATGGCTGAGGAGTAGTGTCAGTCGAGAGCGCACCCCCAGCTAGGGGACCAGTGGACCCTCTAGTTGGGAAACAAATTATCACTTACCCAGGTACAGGCGGCACTGCCTGGGTGGACTGAATATTTCCCCCATACTCGTGGGAACTGTATGGAGATTGAAGAAATACACAAAAAACCATAAGACGAGGAGGAGAGTGCGGGTGAGCTTGGCTCGCCTGCAGACGCGGTAGACGGGAGCCCAATTTGCTCTGGCGCCCGTAGGAAGACGCTGGACACGTCTGGCGTGCTCCACACACGGGCATCAACTTTGATGGGGTCGGACTCTTTGTCCGACACATCACTAGCGGAGCGGCTGAGCGTGAGGTCGAAGGGCTCACGCCGCCGCGTGACGGGGACGTTAAACGTCCCAGGCTGGAGGAGGACATTTTGTCCCCGTCCTCCGGCGCGCAGGAGGCGCCTCCCCCTAAAGTCCACACGGCGGGGCGGGGTAGGGGCGGCGAGGACAGCGGCCGCCAAAGGCCGGGAATCGCTGCCTGCGTTGAGCCAGCCGAGCAACTGGCTGCGGAGGGCAGGGCCCTATCGAGCACTGCCCTCTCCGAATCTTCCGCCATGGAGATGCCGGAGAGCGAGCTCTGCTCCGAGAGTGAGCGCGACTCCGGGGGCCTACGCCGGGCCGTTCAAGAGGAGTAAGTGTAACTCCGTAAGGTGGCGGTGAAGAAGACTGTGCAGGCCAGAGTCGCCATCCTGAACGCAGCGGAGGCCGCCATCATGACGGCAGGCTTGGAGCGGTGTGCGCTGCCCACCGCTGACAGGGTACAAAAGGAGCTGGGGGAGATGCGGCGGGAGTTGACGCGCTTGGCGGCCTCCAACGCGGCTCTGGAGGCCGAGCTGCGGTCAGCTAGGGCCGAGCTCACCGCTGGCCGGGGAAGTCATCCCCAAACCCAGCCCTCAGCGGATGCCGACGTAATCAGCTTATTGCGCAGCGAGATGGCGGCTTTCCAGCGACGTTTCGATGTGCTGGAGGGCCGACTCCTTCACCCCCTGGCAGGGGGTGAAGCAGGGGGCCCCTGCTCGCATCGAGTCAGGTCGCCACACCTGCGACCCCGCGCTCGTACGCGGCCGCTGCGGCGAAGCCTTCGACCTCCACTGACACTCCATTGGCCGCGGCCCCCAACCGCCGGCAAAGGCGCGAGCGCCTCCTTCCGCGAGGCCCTCGGCGCCCCCGCCGGTGCAGACCCCGGCTGCGCCGACGGCGCTTGCGCCCGTGGGACGCAAAAAAAAGGAGGGGCACTCCAGCCCGGCAAGCTGGAGTTGCAGCAGCGGCGGCGGAACCCGCTCCGCAAATAGAGGACGGCGGCGGGTGGCAAATCGCAAATTCGCCGGTCAGGCGATGAGAGTCGCCAGGGAGGGCTGAAAGCGCCGCAAGAAGGCGCAGTGGCAGCGACTGCAGCGCAGGGAAGAACGCGCTGCTGCCTTGCTCCTCGCCCCTAAGACCGCTTCTGTAGTAATCATTCTGCAGCCCGAGGCGGTCAACAGGGGCGTTACATATGGCGACGTCCTCGCCAAATTAAAGGGGGCGGTGACTCCTGCGGAGTTCGGGGCCCTAGACGGGTTCGCGGTCACGGTGACCGCTACCGGAGCCCGTCTTCTCGAGGTCCCCGGCGCGACCAGCGGCCCATCAGCTGACGCCCTGGCTAAAAGGCTTAGGGCGTGCCTTGGTGCGGAAGAGGCCACGCGGGCCTCGTCCAGGCCCACCAAATGCCTGGATGTCAGGATTTTGGGCCTGGGCGACTCCGTAACGGAGAAGGAGGTGGTGGCCGCTGTGGCCAGGACGGGAGGGTGCCCTGCTGACCAAATTAAAGCAGGCGCCATCCGTCCGGACAACTTGGGGCTGCGCACGGTGGTTGTGAGCTGCCCCGTCACAGCGGCCAAAAAGCTGAAGGAGGGCAAAAGACTCTTGGTGGGATGGGTCTCGGCGCAGGTCAAGCTGTTCGAGACCCGGCCTCTGAGGTGCTACCGTTGTCACGTGGGGGAGCACGTGAGCGCCAAATGCACCTCGGAGGTGGACCGCAGCGACTGTTGCTTCCGTTTTGTCTCCGAGCCGTACTTTGTCCCGCCCAGTGATCACTGGGTGGCGGACCTGGACGGCTCGGTGACCATCATCTCGTCGGCCGCCGCCGGTACCCCGACTCTTGAGGCTGCTCAAAGAGGCCGAGGTTGTGTCGCAGCACGCTTCGGAGAGCTCGCTGTGATGGTTCTGTCCCCACGTGCGTGCAGATGCAGGGCGAGTCTGTGGTGGACATTTCGTTCGCCAGCCCTGCTCTGTCACCGCGTATCGTTGACTGCCGTGTCATAGAGGAGGTGGAGACGTACTCCGACCACCGGTATATCCGGTTCGACGTCTCCGCCGAGTCCGCAGACCCACCGGTCAGACAGGCCCCATGTGGCCCGCGTTGGGCGCTGAAACAGCTGGACCGGGAGCTGCTCCTGGAAGCCGCTATCGTGCAGGCCTGGATGACACCAGGTCAGGCCTGCCGACATTGACGATGTGGCTAAGTGGTTCCAGGACGCTATGTCCAGGATTTGTGACGTGGCGATGCCCCAAAAGCGAGGCAACAAAAGCGCCAGGTGTACTGGTGGTCGCAAGAGCTGGCAGCTTTGCGCAAGGCGTGCACTACTGCGCGACGCCAGTACACTAGGCACCGCAGGCGACGTATCCGTCCTCGATAAAAGGCGTGATGTTATGATGGTATGTTATCCTAATTAAACCAATTGAGCTGAAATTTGGTATAGGACACGTTTACTTTGCATGACCATGAATGTGCAATGCAGCTGCTTATAAGATTTTTTTCTTTTTTAGGTTCACGTTCAACAATGCGAATGGAAGATGTGAACCTTTCGTGTATGGAGGTTGTCTGGGAAACGAGAACCGTTTCGCGACTTTAGAGAGTTGTCAAGCGGCGTGCCACTGAACTTCCTGAAAAAATATTATGTCATAACATGAATTTATTTCAATAAATTGCTTGATAATAATTTAATGAGTCTAGTTATTTTATTTTTTTACAGTTGTTCACTCTTGCTTCGGACATCTGGCAATTGAGATGCGTCTTGAATAAAAAATTAATTATATAAGGTTTTAATATTATTACCTAAAAACACAGCGTTTACACCCATTTTCGGGGTATTTTAGTCAGTCACTCACTGTCGAAACAGAGTGGCATTTAGTCAGTAAGAGTCTGACACTCCTCTCGCCTCACCCGGGCGGGAGAAGTCACTAGATGATTTTGCCCCCTTAAAAACAATTGCCATGTAGGTAATTTTATTTGCAATAATAATGAGTATAGATAATATTTTTACAGTTTATCGAACAAGAAATATATAAACAAAACAATCTTAAAAAAGTTCAAATGTTATCTATTCTTTGATTGTTATTGATTACTATTGATTACTTGATTATTATTGACTTCGTCAACGCAAACAGACGTGCGCTTTGATGCAATAATTTTAAAATAAATTGACAATTTTTATTCAGTGACCTACTTGTCTTCCGCTACGTGTTTTATAACACTAAGCAAACTCAAATGTTTTACTATCTATAAATTATAAAGAAATGTATAAGTAAACGCTTGAACTTTAAAAACTATGGAAAGCAGCCCCTTCAATAGAAGCGGACTAACGCGCCGCTCACCACCGCCGACACCAACCCAAACTCCGAGCCACAGCCAAGACGAGAGGATGGAAGTGATCTCAACATCAGACCTACAGCACTGGATGGGATGCATTGAGACCCAACTAAACGAGATATGTCATATAACTGGCGAAGGCAAGCTAAACTCGGATCAAAAGTTAAAGGTGAGCTCCCTATGTCGCAAAATTGGGCATAATGTTGGCCAACTAGCCTGCAAATATCAATCGCTCAAACAAAAAGCCACTCAGACGCACTATTCCCTCCAAGTCCTTAAAGAACATCAAGCCCAAGAAGAAAGTCTGACTGCAGAAATTAAGCGGACCATACAAGAATCTTGTGGGAAAACCACCATGGAAACCACTACTTTTGCAGACATGGTGAAAAAAGGAGCCAATGATTTTGTGCGCCCAATAAATGTCAATTCCGTAGCGATTTATCCCAAGGATAACTCGAAATCAAGTGATGACACCAAAAGCTTGGTTCAAAAAATCGTGTGCCCCGAGGAAATGAAAATAAAAGTTCGTGGAGTACGAAGGGTTCGGAATGGAGGTGTTATCATCAGCACGAATTCAAAGGACGACGTCGAAAAACTGATGAAAACTGTGCAGTCATCAAACTCAGACCTAACAATCAACGAACCGCAAAAAAGAAAACCCCGCATAATCATTATAGGAGTACCGACATCTATACCAGAATCCGAAGTCTACAACTGCATATTTGAGCAGAACGTGGCCGACAAAATTCCATCCATGACCAGGGAGTCATTTATGTCTTCAATAAAAACAAGCCATAAATCCGGCAGAAAAGATACTGATCATCATAACCTGATTATCGAAGTCTCAGCTGCTATACGGAAAGCACTCATCACCCAAGACCGAGTTTTCATAAACTGGACCTCCTGCCCGGTAAGAGACTTCACATTGGTGACTAGATGTTTCAATTGTCATCAATACGGCCACGCAGCTAAATTCTGCAGAAATCCAGTTGTAACCTGTGGACATTGCGCTACTGAGGGCCATTCAATCAAGGATTGCCCGAAAAAATTAGACCCACCGAAATGTGCCTCGTGCCTGCGATTCAACAAACCATCTAATCACAAGACAGGAGAACAAGATTGCCCAGCAAAGAAGGCGGCCGAATTCAGGTATATAAATTCGATCGATTTTGAAGGCGCCTAAGAGCGCCATTGCAACATTATTATTAGCACTAAATTAAAATTTTAAAATCGATACTACATGAATCAAAATCTAATTAATGAAGTAGAACATAGTTTTCCAACAATCACAAAAGCATGCGATGTGGAGGACTGCGAACAGTATCTTTCGGATTTTAAAAACTCTTTTAAAATAGTCACTCAAAACATTCGCAGCATCTACAAAAATATTGATAGTTTTCACACTTTTTTGCACAGAGCTAACCTAAATTTTGACGCTATGGTTTTAACAGAGTGTTGGTTGTCAAATAGAAACGAAAATATACCTCAAATACCGGGATATCAGACTTTCTGTAGTAAATCAACATATAATCAAAACGATGGCGTCGTAGTATATATCAAAGAAACACTCGAAGCCACAGTTGAAGAAACAACCGTACACGACTGCAACTGTGTCACGGTAAAAATAGGAAAGAATGTTGCACTATTAGCTATGTATAGATCCCCTTCCTTTAGAAACACTGATAGGTTTCTGCTTTCCCTAAATCAGACCCTTACAGCCCTAACACCCTTCCCGAACATAATATTAACTGGTGACATAAATCTAAACATTGGTTCTGACATTCTTGACACAGGGACCAACAACTATTTAGATCTCTGCTCCTTTCATGGGCTCCAGCCTGCACATACCCTGCCCACACATCAAAGTGGTTCTTGTCTGGATCATGTGATGATTAAGTCTAAATTAGCATATATAACCTTTGTCACTAACTCAACAATTACCGATCACCATGCTGTAATACTAACAATAAATTTAACGTCCCATAAGCAAAAAAGAATTCTGACAAAGTCCAAATTGAATATGAACCGTCTTGAAAATGATTTACGCAACACAGATTTTAACCCAGTTTATAGTACCGCTGATGCAACTCTGTCTTTATCCTACTTAATAAATATTATACAGCAAGCTATTTTACGAAATACCACCACATCGAGAAATAGCAAAAATAATCACAATTTAAAACCGTGGATTACACCCGGCCTCCTTCGCTGTATAAGACATAGAGACAAACTTCATAAAAAAACTAGACAATTTCCAGATAACGCCATACTCCAACTAACATATAAAAGATACAGAAACTTCTGCAATAATCTCTTAAAAAAGATTAAAACCGAATACGATAGAAGCGAGTTGCAAAAAGCCGGAAACAATACCAAATCACTGTGGAATCACATAAAGTCTGTAACTTACTTAGCCAAACAGCGTGAATCAAATTCAGGCCTTTTGTGCAGTGATAACACACCACTGATATCAGCTAACAATGTAAACAACTACTTTGTTAACGTAGGTAAAAATCTTGCAGACCAGATAGTGAGTAATTCGCCAAGCACACAGTCGCCTGTGCATTTTACAATTACAAACCAGAAAAAATCCTTTGTGTTGCTTGATACAGATGAAAATGAAGTAGCTAGAATAATCTCTGGACTAAAAGATGACTGTGCGGTCGGCTGTGATAATATAAGTAACAGAATAATAAAACGTTGTAAGAGTATACTAGTGCCCCTTCTAACCTACATATTCCGCTTATGTCTATCCAAAGGAACCTTTCCTACATCCCTAAAAAAAGCTTTAGTAATACCTATCTTTAAATCAGGAAACAAAAAGCTTGTAAGCAACTACAGACCAATATCCATTCTGCCCTCGTTATCCAAAATATTAGAAAAAATTATAAACACCCGTTTAGTAAATTATCTGGAGAAAAATGGCCTGATTTCACCCAGGCAATTCGGCTTCAGATCAAAACTGTCTACAGCGGACGCTGTTCATAGCCTAACTAATTTCGTATCTGAAGAACTTGGTAAAGGCAATCACTGCTTAGCAATTTTTATAGACCTAGCCAAAGCATTTGATACTGTTTCTATTCCTCTTCTTTTACATAAATTGGAAGCAATAGGCATAAGGGGTACACAACTAACACTACTAACAAACTATCTAAATGATCGCTCTCAATGTGTTCGAATTGATACGACCACAAGTGAAGACCGAGGGAACCATGGTTTTGGATTACCACAAGGTAGTATTCTCGCCCCGACCCTCTTCCTTATTTATATTAATGATCTCTGTAATTTAAACATACAAAACGGAAAAATAATATCATATGCAGACGACACAGCGCTTATTTTTACCGCAAAAACAATCACAGAACTCTATGAGAACGCTCAGAGGGAATTTAATTCTGTAAATAACTGGCTAAACTACAATTTACTAACACTAAATGTTGACAAAACAAAGTACTTGCTCTTTTCCATGCGTAAAAATCAAACTAACACTACTAACGATGAACTTACAGTGCATAAATGTAATGCCCTCTCGACATACCCCTGTGAATGTCCTAAAATCCTCAAAACTCGTCACATAAAATATCTAGGCATCATTATTGATGACACACTTTCTTTCCGGCCACACATTGAGAGTTTGGTATCCAGAGTACGCAAACTTATGTTTGTATTTAAAATATTGCGAAAAATTGCCGATACTAAATTAATAACTCAAGTGTACATGGCACTATGTCAGTCCATTATCACTTATTGTATTACCTCATGGGGTGGTGTACCTAAAACCTCTATGCTGTCTTTGGAACGAGCACAGAGAGCAATATTAAAAGTAGCACACTCCTATCCTTTCCTTTTCCCCACAGAACAACTATACAAATCCTGTAAGGTACTAACTGTAAGGCAACTATACATAACGCAAGTAATATTGAAGCAACACACGCAGATCCCTTATGATACCAACACTGTAAAGAAGAGACGAAATGATATAGTTTGCAGTTCGCACTCGACCTCAAAATTTATGTACAGTAATAAATTCTATAGTTTTCTAGGACCCTACTTATATAATAGGCTAAATAAGCAACTTTGTATTTACAACTTGAATTGCTATCAATGCAAAAAACGTGTCAGCACATATTTGCAACAACTGACTTATGACCAGACCGAATTTTTGCTGACTGTATGTAAATAAAATTAGAAACAAGTTAATTTATTAAGTGATTAGGTATACATTTCTATATATAGGTAAAATTTGAGTAATCAAATAATTTAATATAAGAATGATTATATAATTATTGTTAATTAGACCTTAAGTTCTCTATTCTAAGCGGTTTTTATTGCCTGAGGTACAGGTTTCAAACCTAGTTCAGGCACATGGAATAACATAGCAGCATATAGAATTAAGACATACGAAATTTCTGTTTATATTTTTTGAATAAATTATTTTATTTTTTTTTTTTTTTTTATTCTAAGAATAGATAGACGTTTCTAAGAAACGTCTATCAAATAAAGTTCTTTAAATAGAAATACACTGACAGTCCTAACCTCTCTTTAATTACAATCTTAACATAAGCAAAATAACCTAAACAAGAACTAAAAGCAACAAAACTACAAATAACTAAAATTCAGACTAGCGGTCACCAATGTTGCAAAATAGCCCTTGAGAGAACAACCACACAACCGTCTCATCCGAGCGCCAACGCAAAAAAGTGAACGGCTGCATAGCACTGCTCCGTTGTCGTGTCACTCATGTCATCCCTTCCAGCTGACGTCATCGCACAAATGTACTAGGCTGAAAATGATTTTCCTCTAAGAAGGATTTTCCTCTAAGAAGGATTTTCCTCTAAGACTATACTAATATTATAAAGAGGAAAAATTTGTACCTATTTTTGTATGTTTGTATGTTTGTAGTGAATAGGCTCAAAAAGTACTGGGCCGATTTAAAAAATTCTTTCACCAATAGAATGCTACATTCTTCCAATTTGACATAGGCTACATTTCATTTTGAAAAACATTAGGGATCCTTGGTAAAATTTGAACAATGTAACCGAAGGTGTAGAAAAATGAGTTAAAATGTCTTTCGTCGAATGCGCTGCTGAAACTGTTAGCGATAGAACAAAATAATGTGCAACAATATTGAAGAACATCATAATGTCTACAAAAAACTCCGCGGTAGCAAATGTCAAACTATTGTAGTTATATCACTACAACAAGTATTCAGCTAGTATTTTATAATCTAACTTCGTGGCAAATGTGACTGATATAAACTGGCCTTGTAACAGAAACGTACTTGGGTACCTACTTTTTCAATACTAATTTCTTGCTATCAAACAGTACAATTGTCGATGAATTTTCTTTATCTTTATTTTTGATGGGCCGAAGTTTACTACTATCTCGTCTAGTGGTAAGCGATTATGTAACCTATTCACTCGGGCCTTGAAGACACCCAGGCTGTACCCTTCAGGAAACAAAGACTCTGACAAAGAACTCCTCTCCTTAGCAGTACGCACAAGGAAGCTTGATGTGAAGCGCTTCGTGCATGTGGGTGGAACATCCACCATGAATCGGTGACGGTAAGTCTCGACTCTAACGCATCCAGTAGTAGCCGAGCCGTCCCAAAGATGAAAACAGTACTCCATACAGAACAGAACCTGTGCTTAGTATAGGCTCAGCAGTTGTTTCGTCGTGAAGTACCGTCTTACTCTCCATAGGATACCCAACTTCTTACTAGCCAGTTGCGTTTTCTACTCTATATTGAAGCTAAAGTTGAGTGTCGGTGTCAGAGTTATGCCAAGAAGTTCAAGATTATCATCGGAACAGATACATTCCAAACAGTAGGTGTCAGCGGAAATAGGGTAGACGACTAATTTTTATTTTAATGTCCGTCTGGTAGATTATTTTAAATCATTACACACGTATTTTTTATTTTCTTACAGAAACGAATACTTTCCACGATATATTGATTTGAAATGTCGTGTGACGTCACTTTTATGTACATTTTATACGTAGAAATGACGTTTTAGCCCCCACTCCTCTCCCCGTCCGACCAGAAACAGACCCGAGCGTACGGCGCGTCGCGTTCCACGCGCGCCTCAAAGAGCCATCAGACCACCACAGATGGGGCCCAATAGGGCCGATGCCGATTCGGAGTCGCGGAGAACCTAACGGGTAACCGGGGCTCCGGCTCGACGTGCAGGAGAAGGAACGGGGTGGTTTTTAGTCAGTAAGAGTCTGACACTCCCTCCCGCCTCACCCAGGCGGGGGCAGTCATTCGATGATTTTCCCCCCTTAAAAAAAAAAAATAATAAAAAAAAAAGCCCCCACTCCTAAACTTCGATTCGTTTTATCTAAGTATTGTTTTATTATACGACAAAATATAAAAATACGTGTCTAATATTTTTTAAATACCTAACTTACGGACTAATTAGATTTTTAATTTTCATACCCTGTCGTCATCCCAATTGACTTGACCAGATTCGCGTCACTCCATTGCGAGACCGCCTTCAAGGACGAGTTAAAACGTTCACTATCGGATACATACCCTACAAGTACTGCGCTGTCATCTGCATACTCAAAGATACCGGGCTTAAAAGCAGGTCGTTTACGTGCAGCAAAAAGAGCGTCGCTGAAAATACTGACCCCTGCCGCCGTCATTAATACCGAATTGCTCAGATGAGCAGCCATCGATGACTACTCGTATTGACCGATCCCTCAGGAATTCTGCTATCCATCTGCATAGATCAGCAGGAAGTTCATGTGGAGGAAGCATGACGATAAGACTGTCGTGCCATACCCTGTCAAAGGCCTTCGAGATATCGAGGGAGACTGCCAATGCTTCCGAATGTGAGTGGCACTATGGCGTCCACCAGTTTTAACCAGTTCAATAAAGCAATATTAACTCGTCGAGTACCGTCATTATAGACACAATTATAGAACAATAGGTTGCGGTCACCGGTGACCGCTTGGTGTTTGACAGTTTAAACAAAGTATTATGTTTTCGGCTTACTCACGTAATAATTTGACGAGGAACTCGACTAACTTTTTTGTTAAATAAAGTTTTTTTTTCTTTTCTTTTTCTTTTCTAGTTTCAAGCCATGCTAGAGGCTCATATAGCGCCAGTAGCAGCGCGACAGTCGCCGCGTCGCGGGTCGTGAAATGCTGCTCATGAATATGAGCCTCTAGCATGGCTTGAAACTAGTCGAGTTCTTCGTCAAATTATTCCGTGAGTAAGCCGAAAATATAATAATTTATTTAGTATGTCTCACGAAAGTTACAATACAAATATTAAACAAGCGATAATAATACGCGCAAGTTTGATAAAGAAAACAATAAGTAAATATAATTGTAGTTAGGTTGTTTAAGGAAAATTACCTTTTATGCAAACAATAATTGATTCTAATTTAATTATAAAGTATGTAAGTATGTGTAAAATTAGTTTTTAAAAAGACATGCGTTTGAATAATAGAATTACCTTTGAGTCGAACGCACAAGTCTCCTGAAATGTATAAGCTGTTAAATATTATTTTAATATTTCTGTTCATCGTCGCTGACTGCAGTGCAGAATTGGGTAAACTTAATTAATTATTTAATATGATTCGTATTACATAAATATTTGGTTTTGTATAACTATCCAGGGTGCAAAAGGAACGCTCTCGAAAACGCTGACATAAAGGTTGATTTTACAATTTTTTACTCGTCGAGTACCGTCATTATAGACACAATTATAGAACAATAGGTTGCGGTCACCGGTGACCGCTTGGTGTTTGACAGTTTAATCTTCAATTTTTGCAATTTTAATCGCTTTTGTTTTGTTTACTTGTTCTTCGTACGATGCACAATACGGCACTTAATGCCACTGTACAATGTAACACCCTCTTTTCAGTATTTATCTTATGAGTTCCATGTAATTGGGGGTGAGCCCATTGCCATATACCGGGCACAATTTCAGACTCCGTGCTACTACTGAGATTTTGTTAAAAACCCAGGAATACTGTTGCCCGGCCCGGGTATTGGACTCGAGACTCCTTGCTCGGCAGTCACTCTTGCTGCAAGCACTATTGTACTTACACGATCCTGACCAGTTTTAGTATAAAGCTACATAGACCCGTTTTGCCACTTATATTCCACATGCCCACATAGGTGCTAAGTGCTAATCAATACAAATTATACAAACCCAAGGTAGTTACTGTAAACCATTGAAGAGTTATCTTTACAATAACACTCCTTCATCATCAGACTCTTAATGATACTCCCATTGCATCTAGTTGTAAATTTCTCATCAATACAAATTAATCAACCCAAAACACAAGGTAGTTACTATAAACCGTTGCGGAGTTCCCTCGACTGTCTGTCGGCTCCATCATCAGGTCGACTCGAGACCCTTATGAAATTGTAGTGTTTAAAATTATTTATTGAAAAACATAATTGACGCATTACTCGCCTCTACAAATTTCAAAAATTCTCCTCGGTTTCCTTAGGATTCCATCGTCAGATACTGACCTGATGACTAAGCGACCTCCTCGAGGTATAACCGTTTGAACAGAACAAGAATTTTGGAAATCGGTTCTCAATTGGCGGAGTAATCGATGAACAAAGAAACAAACAAAAAAGAACAACCATCCGAACATAATACCAACTTTTTTTGAAATCAATAAATTATATTTTTTTTTTCTTTACAGATCCGAAATGTCTTTTACCGTCGGACCCTGGGCTGTGCCTTGCTTTAGTGCCTATGTATGTATTACAAAATAACATGATATAAATCTACACTTTTTAAAATGAAATATTACACTGAAACTATAAAAAGCTGAAGTGTTTGTTTCAACGCGCTAGTCTTCAAAATTACTAGTTCGAATTTAATAACTCGTTTTAAGTTGGATAGTCCGTTTATTGAGAAATGCTATAAAAAAAGGATTACGCTTTTTTAAAGAGGGAATATCATCCGATGATTTCTCCCGCCCAGATGAGGTGAGAGGGAGTGTCAGACTCTTACTGACTAAATAACACCCCGTCCCTATTACTGCTCTTCAAGCCGGAGCTCTGGCAACTCGTTAAGTCCTTCGGTAAGTTTCACATCGGCATCATCCTTATTGGGCCCCATCTGTAGTGGTCTGATAGCTTTTTGAGGTGCACATGGAACCGAACACGCCATCCGCTCGGGTCTGGTTCTGATCGGGTAGTGAACTACACATGGCCGTCCGCAGGCCCGTGCTTACGGTTACTGGAGATCGTCTCGTGATCCCCGACGCTTGATGTGTCTCCCGCGATGGTTGGCGTGTGAGCAGGTTCGTTTCCACGCGCTAGGCCTTGTCCTTAGTGACTGCTTCACAAAAGGAGGAGATGGCATCTAATTTCCCCCGCTTAGTCCCATAGTCTAAACCAGAGCCGGACGCTAGAGGTCGCCGTCGCCGATTATATGCCCGAGAACACGGTGGTGGTCAGCCTACGCAGGGTACACCACCACCGTATGCTCGACCGTGTTCTCCTGGTGGTACTCACAGTGATGACACCAAGGCATTTCCTTCCACCCAATCAGAGACAGGTACCTCTCGAAATTTCCATGCCCCTTGTTTCGCCCTGACGACGTGCCTCAGCGCACAAAGTAAACATATGCGTGAGCACCTTCGCCTCCAGATCCCAAAGCTGATACACGGCAAGTAGGTTCGCCGCCTCCCCGGAGGTCGTGTGATATCCCCGTTAAATAGCCATGACCCATTTGGGACGTCTAGCGCCCGAGAGGGGTCATGGTAGGTACTGACAAACTTTCAGTTTGCAAGACCATAAATGCATAACTGTATATGTTTGTTTGTTTTAGTTTTGAATTTTATTTTTTTTTAGGTACACGTACAACAGTGCGATGAAAATTTGTGAACCTTTCGCGTATGGAGGTTGTCAGGGAAACGAGAACCGATTCGCGAGTTTGGAGAAATGTCAAGCGGCGTGCCACTGAAATTGCTGGAAAATATCATAATATAACTTGAAATTATTGCAATAAATTGTTTGATAAGATTTTAATGAGTCTTTAGTTTATTTTGTTATAATAGTTTGCTTTTGTTGAAAAATTAATTGTTTTATAGAACTACTAGCGGACCCGACAGACGTTGTCCTGCAAATAATAATAGGCATAGATAAATAACCTAGATACCAACTGCAGCGCCATCTGCTGGGCTGATTTATGAATCTAAACCATTCCCAGATCCCCTTGAATACACACAAAATATTTCTTCAAAATCAGTCCAGTCGTTTGAGAGAAGTTCAGTGACATACACACTCACAGAAGAATTATATATATAAAGATATAAAAACATATTTCTATTCATTGTTTCGCTAACACAAATTTTCATTAACCTCTCCTAGATTTTTAGGAACTGCCTATAAGATAATAAGATAGGTAACTTTAATGACATTTTGACACCAATGTATAGCGAAGTGCCACCTAACAGTACAAGTAAGAGGATAGGATTAGGTTATAAGTACTACGTCACGTAAAGTAACTTTAAATTAAGAGATGGTATAGGGGTGGTAAGGGAAAATGAAAATTGGTATTCGTAAAAACGTACTATTAACAATTTAAACTGTCAAACACCAAGCGGTCACCGGTGACCGCAACCTATTGTTCTATAATTGTGTCTACAAAACCGGTACTCGACGAGTTAAGAAATATGTGGCGACACATGTCACATGTCAATGGATGACGTCACAAGAATCCTACATCGCACATGCAAAGTTTACAAGCGAATAAACACGGATAGAAAAACCCAACGAACAACTATCGGGCTGAAAGCCCGCCAGCCACGATCATCTCGCCTGGGTGCTTACTCTTGAAACCAATCTCAATGTCAATGCAATTTCAATCCAATAAAATCTCAATAATTATTCAATGTCAATACTATACAACCACAATCGTAGGTAGCTGTTAACATTTACAGTACAGGATATAAAGCCAAACTCAATACCATTTAGTTCATTCAACATCCACGCAATACGGATGCAATGGGCGCTAGTGCTGCAACTCAAGAGTACGAAATTTCACAATACAACCACAATCGTAGCTGTTAACATTTACAGTACGGGATATAAAGCCAAACTCAATACCATTTAGTTCATTCAACATCCACGCAATACGGATGCAATGGGCGCTAGTGTTGCAACTCGAGAGTACGAAATTTCACAATACCAATGTCGATCGATCGGAATTGGTGTCAAGAGTAAGCCACCTAGTCGGAGGATCCTCCTTTTCCGATCACAGGGAACTATACTCTCTGTTCCCTAAAGATATATATGTATATATGCTTAAATAATTATTTTTCTGTAATTGCAAAAACTTTGTAGTGGCTCAGCACGTGGCAATGGGCTCACCCCCTATTACATGGGTTTTATTTCAAGAGGAAAATATTATCGAATGACTTCTCTCGCTTGGGTGAGACAATGCGCCCCGCCTCCTCCTTAGTTAGCATGACTGCTTCGCAAAAGGAGGATACGGCATCCTAAACCCCCTCGCTCCACATCATGACCCGGACTAGGGCCGGACGCGAGAGGTTGCCAGTAGGGTATAATTGGGGGTTCTGCATCACTTGCTCTCGCTGCGCTCGAGCTGCGTGATGCAAAACGCCCCAATTCTACTGCTTAGGCAGATCGTAATGTGCATATCGTATTCAATAACAATACAGTCGAATAAGGATTGCGTTCGATTCGCAACTGTTCATTCAGCGGGAATCCGACTTCCTAGTATCGTGATGTATTGTTTTGCATCTGTTGCATTGTAATATGTAAGAGATTGATCGTCTAAATCTAAACTTACGATGTAGCATAGAGAAATACGACCTGTTAAGACATTCATTATACTTGCATTATAACACTTGTGAGCATGTTTATTATCATGCCTTTGTTAAGTATACATAAAACATTGCATCTCAGTTGTATTTGCCGAAGCCCGAAAGGAGTAGACCGCTATGCTTTTGTCCCATGTAATAAAGACTGTATGAAATCCTTTCTTTCCTTTTATAAGTTAACATAAAGAATAAACGTTGTAAGGTTCATACTACTAGGCTAAGACTTGGTACATACAACTTCCTTTTTAGAATTTCATCTCAGGTATCCGCGACGCTGTGGCGCCGTTTTCTAAATTAGGAAAAAAAAAAGATGTGTGCTCGTTATGCATGCTACATATTATCAAATTGAACTCTATGCTTTCAACACATACAGTTTAAATTGTATCATTAGAGTTTTAGAACTTGTTCATATATATGACTGCAATAAATTAAAAAGTATATTTAATTGGCAACAATTACTGTGAGTGTTTGTTTGGGATAATTACATAAAATGTCGGTGAGTATTTTTTTTTCTGTTCTTTATTAATAATATTTAATTTTTTATTACGTGTATACTTAGTTTTTTATTTTTTTGTTCCAGGACTCTGATGACCTTTTTAATTTTATCCCATACCCGCCAAAGGAACCAAACGCAGGCGAGTCATCTAAACTCAATTTAAAGAGAAAACGTGGGACATCATCAGCTCCACAAAAGCGTCAACGAGTTCAAGTATACTCCTATACTAAAACAAGGGCTCAAAATATATCTGCATCATCAAGGACGATAAAAATTGAAATTTACGAGGCTGATAACCAGCCTATAAAGGCTTGCGAGTGCAGGGCGAACAAGTGCGTACAATATGTAATAAAAGATATTAATTGTGATGATATATACTTCGCTTTAGAAAATATAATTGGAAAAATTCAAGAAAAAATTCAATAAAATTGTATATTTATATTCAGACTTTCATGACTATGTAACATTCTTTTTAGTTAAGTTTAAATTATCTTTGTTTATGTGTATAATCATAATTATTATATTGTTATTATACTATCATTATTATATTAGCTTATAGTGTCCCACTGCAGGACAAAGGCCTCCCTTCCCTCCTTCCACTTGTCTCTAATTATATTGTTAAATATTACATAAATAGTATTAAAATTGTAATCATTTTATAATTAAAAAATAAATAAAATTGTGCAATAAATATATTCAATAACAACAGTAGCTAAAATTATGTAGTTAATATACTTACTATACCATACCTATGTATATTACATGGGACAAAAGCATAGCGGTCTACTCCTTTCGGGCTTCGGCAAATACAACTGAGATGCAATGTTTTATGTATACTTAACAAAGGCATGATAATAAACATGCTCACAAGTGTTATAATGCAAGTATAATGAATGTCTTAACAGGTCGTATTTCTCTATGCTACATCGTAAGTTTAGATTTAGACGATCAATCTCTTACATATTACAATGCAACAGATGCAAAACAATACATCACGATACTAGGAAGTCGGATTCCCGCTGAATGAACAGTTGCGAATCGAACGCAATCCTTATTCGACTGTATTGTTATTGAATACGATATGCACATTACGATCTGCCTAAGCAGTAGAATTGGGGCGTTTTGCATCACGCAGCTCGAGCGCAGCGAGAGCAAGTGATGCAGAACCCCCAATTATACCCTACTGTTGCCGTCGCCGATCACATCCCTACTATGTGTTCCACCGTGTCCTCAGGGCGGTCCTCGCAATGATGACATCCGGGCGTTTCCTCCCACCCTATCAGACACAAGTACCTCCCGAAGCTCCCATGTCCAATGAGGACCTGCGTCAAGCGGTAGGTGAGGACGCCGTAGCGTCTCTCAAGCCATTCCTCAAAGAGGAGACTTACCGCAGCAATCGCAGCGAGCCCAGCCTTCGGTTGCGACACCTATTACAGAGGCTGACGAGTCTAAATGGGACCCAGTAGGGCTGATGCCTGATCTGGAGCCGCGGAAGTCTTAACGTATTGCCGAGGCTCTGGCTCGAAGCAGGAGTAGGAACAGGGTAGTTTTTTGCTCAGTAAGAATCTGACACTGCATACGGGACTCATAATATAACTTGTGAAAAAGTGGATGTAACTTTCAATAATTATGTGCATCTGTCTGTGTGTCGTAATTGTTATGTCAATATATTCAGATTGGTGTTAGCAAAAACTAGTCAGTTACATTACTATCAAATTATTCTATTGTAGTCTAACTAGAAAAACTCCTTTAAATTCCGATCCGATGGTCGGGTAAAAAACCTTTTTAAATAAATCAATAACTGGTATTTGTTAGTTATTTTGGGTACTGACTGCGTCGTAGAGTCATAGTGAGACTGCTGAACAAGGGATCTTCAGTTAACGGGTCTCGTGGTGCTACTGTGTTTTTTCCGACTTTATGATTGATATTTATTTTTTGGGACACCCTGAACACAAGAGGCGTTACAAGTACATTACCAGTAGTATTATCCTACGATAATTCATCGAGGGAAGAGGACACTATCGTTTTTTTTCTTCTCCTCTTATAATATCTTCTGATTCACTTCGTTGCGGGAACCAAGACAGTTATTCATGTCCCTGGGTCGCGCCAGACTTCAGAGTTCCGGTGTTTTCATGATTGTGTCTACTGTAGATCCTGGCTTACAGGAGTTGCAGCGGTTTTGGGAGGTTGTGGCGAGCTTGTCACATTAAAAAAGTACATTACCAGCCTTTTGGGGGTTTGGAATTTATTGTTGGGGATTCGGGGATTGGGGAAGGGATAATTGAGCCTCTGATAACCTTACTCACACGATGAAACACAACGCAACTGTTGTTTCACACCGGTTTTCTGTGAGGCCGTGGTATCATTCCGATCTCCTTTCTGAGTTGGCAACATGTTTCTTTTGGTTTATCTATTTGTTTGTTATTGTTTTTGCATTACAGGTTGTAGTCAATCTTTGTGATTTGTGCTAACCTACCTAGAATATATAAAGAAGGTGCAGATACCAAATAAATTTTTCTTTCTCTCTACCATGGAGTCTGGAATTGTTCCCGATGCTTAACAACGATTTTTTTTAATACCACGACGATGGCAAAAAAGCACACGGCCCACCTGATGGTAAGCGGTTACCGTGGCCTTAAAAAACCTATTCACCGCCCTCTTGAAGAACCTCATGTTGTAGCCCACTGGGAAAACCACGGCAGGGAGCTCATTCCACAATCGGAGGGTCCGTAGGGAACGATAACATAGCGTAACTGTTCGTGGTTTGTGTTACATGGAAAATATACATATACACATACATGCATACCTAACCTCACGCCTGTTTGCCATAGCGATAGGCAGAGATTATGGAACGCCAAATTGCTCGGATTCTTACATACCTCTTTGGCTTTCCCAATAACCATCAGTCTTCATGTATGTTCGTTGGTTAAGGGTACGCTTATTTGACCCTTCTATATCGTCAATTTAGGCTAAAAGGCGTGATTTTCTTGTGCGTACTGCTAAGGAGTGGAATTATTTGCCAGAGTCTGTATTCCCTGGGGTATAATCTGTAAGGGTATAACCTGGGTGTCTTCAAAGCTCAAGTGAATAGATTGCTTATGGGACGACATGCTCTATCGTAGACTGCATCATCGCTTACCGTCAGGCGAGATAGTGCCCAAACGTCGCGTAGGTCTATCAATACATAGTATAAAACAAAGTCGCTTTCGCTGTATGTCCGTATGTATGCTTAGATCTTTAAAACTACGCAACGGATTTTGATGCGGTTTTTTTTAATAGATAGAGTGATTCTTAAGGAAGGTTTGTATGTATAATACATGCATATTGCACCCGTGCGAAGCCGGGGCGGGTCACTAGTCAAATATAAAAAAAAGAAAAAAAACTTTGATTAAAATGTTATGTCATTATGGTCAGATATTTTTTTTTATAAATTACGTTAAAAAAACCGACTTCAAATCTCTCTTTTTTAAATAATTTTAATTGTTGTCGGTTAATTATATATAACAAACATTTTTTTTGAAAACCGGTTGTGTCTAGCGCGATATAATCGCGTAGACACACGCATACAGCTCAGAATGAGAACCTCCTTCCTCTTTTGAAGTCGGTTAAAAAATAAACACATTTTTTTATTTGCTAACCTACAGGAAAAAAATGAAAAAATACACACGGAAAAAATTGAAAGTCATACTGTGTTATGTTAATTTTTACATTTTTGTTACAATCTTTCCTGTTATATTGTAACTATTATGATCATGTAGATACAGCTGTATGTGTGTATGATTTTCCAAACGTAAACCGAACATTACAGGGCCGTATTTGGTTACTTTTAAACGTTCATTCTCAGTTATTTTGTTTTGAACATTTTATTTCTTTGTAAATCTATTGTATTACCAAGTCTGAACCATTTTACTTCGGGACAAGACACGGTGTATACAATAAAATGCCAATAGCGTCACAGTTACTGATTTAATTGTTATTAAAGGAAAATAACAATCATATTATTATTTTTATTTATCCCTCGTACTATCGTAGACAACAATTCTATAAAAAAGTAATCGATATCATCGATTAAAATTCTAGGTTTAAGGAAAAAAATAGATAATATTTCGAAATGACTGGCGACTGACTAGAGTATAAAACTGGACATCCACTATATAAAACCTAGTCTTACCTTAACGTCGCATCAAACTAGGCATGTCTCCTGCATCATACCGTGAGTTTACAAACATATAAGAGTGGGAGAGCCATGCTTCGGCACGAATGGGCCGGCTCAACCGGAGTGATACCACGGCCGAGCAGAAAACCGACGTGAAACAACGCTTGCATTGTGTTTCGTCATGTGAGTGAGGTTACTGGAGGCTCAATTAGTCTCCCCAATCTCCGAATCCTCCACAATCTTCAAATACCTAATGTACAAAACGCCGATACCGCACTTGTAACGCCTCTGATGTTTCAGGTGTTCATGGGCGACGCCGATTGCTTACCATCAGGTGATCCATCTCCTTTGTACCGGGTTGTCCCATATAAAAAAATACAATTAAGTATTTCACACTACGCCTTCTGTCAATGACTTGGCTCGCATTCTCGTGTGATAAAAAGAAGCCTGTATGTCGTTCCAGACCATAATCTACACCTGTTTGAAGTTTCATCGCGATTACTTCAGCCGTTTTGACGTGCTGGAATGACAGACAAACGTACAAGCTTCCGCATTAACA